AATTATTAATTATTATATTTATTAGTATATCGACTCCCCCAACGAAAAGGGAAGTAACTCGAATTTTATCATTTTTCACTTTTTGATGAAATCTGATAACGGATTTTTTTCTGTATTTCCTACGAAAACGGCAGTAACTTTACTATTCCAGAGAGGTTAGAATTCATAATATTAAAATATATTTATAATCTCACGTCATGATAACGTTTCCGGTGAAAAAAGACGTATCTTAAGTTACTTCTATTTTTAAATCAACATTCCCCGAGATAATGGAAGTAACTCATTTTTGTATTTTTAAATACAATAATTTATTGTTAATTATTTGAATACATATTTTATTTATAGTTTTTAATGATAGCAGTGATTATAGTATTGTTATCAGCTAAGTAATAACAAATATTAAAATATAATAATACGATTCATAATCGAATTATTAAACTCGTGACTGTGTTTAGGTGCTTATAATAATAATATTAATGTTATTAATTATTATGATGTTTTATTTTCGTTATTAAAACTGTTTGCTGTTGCTTACTGAACTTAATATTTTAAATATAATATTTAAGGATAAACCAATTAATAGTATTAACAATCATGGCCAACAAAAAAGTAAGTTATTTGATATTTTTTATAATACATATTATTATTATTATTTTAAAAACACTGAACTCAAATAAAAACAATATGATTTAGCAGTGAATAGTAGCATCAAATAATTACTGATAATTTAATTACATTATTTGTTAATTATTATACTATTATTAAACAGGATTTGAATTCAAGTCAAATTTTATCAGATGAAGAAGATAGTAAAAGACTGCTATGAATATGGTCAAATTTCATCAGATGATGATAATTTTAATTCAAGTACTACTAGTAAAGGTAATACTGTACTTAATCAGCATAATATTCTGACTGGGTACAATCGTAACCATTCAAAACATCCAAATATAATATGCAACAGAACTAGAAGACTTCTAACACTTGGTGTTTCAAGTTTCAATACTAAAACAGTAAGTTACTAACTATGCAATTTTTTCATTCTATACCTATAATTATAATTTTAAGCTTATATTCAAGACAATAAAACTCTTGGAAAATTGTTGATAATATTGTAATGAACTCTGGCATATTTAATTAATAATTATATTATCTTGACACTGAGTTAATATTTTGATTATAATAATGTAGGTTATTAATTTTAACCTATATAACTATAAATTATAAAAATATAATATAACCTACATATATAATGTTGTTTAAGACTTAGCCACAAAAAATGTATTATGTTGATGAATTTAGTACCTATGCAATTTTATTGAATGATAAAAATATTTATTTATATTTTAATAATAATATTATTATCACTAGACTATCTTGATGACATTGTGAAAGTTTTTCTACATTTTTAAATAATATTTATAATATGTATAAAATATAAAATATTAATACATAATATAATACTATATAAATAATAATAAGAAGTACAATCAAAACATTATGTTAGTTAGGTTTCTATATTATATTTTATGATAGTAATATACTAATATTATTTTTAATAGAGCGATGAATTAGCCCAATATAAAGCTACCAGTAGTGAAGACGAGCCAGATATTATTGAGTATGATAGTGACAAAGATCCGGAATACTTACCCATTAACTGTATTGATGGTGTCCACGATGAAACAAATAGTTTGACACCTGATGATAATATATTTTCAACCTTGCTAGTCACACCCAATACATTGTTTGTAAGTTCATAACAATAATAACGTTTTTTCAATAAATTTATTATGTTTTGTTTTACACAGGTAGAGAATACATTAGCACCTTCTGTTAAGCATAAAAGACGTCACTTGATTGATACAGGTAAATTAACAAGGAAACGTATTAAAAATAATACTGAATGGATTGATGTAAAATCAAAAAGGAAATTGAATCTAGGTGAAGAACATATCAACAGAGGAGGTAAAATTAGAATGGCAAAGAAGATGGGTCCACCATGTATTGAAAAGTGTCGAATGAAATGCAAAGAAAAATTGAATGATGAAGATAGGAAAATAATTTTTGATTCATATTGGAGCTTAGGTAGCTATATGAGACAGCGAGACTTTGTTTCAAGCAATATACAAATGACGAGTAAGAAGAGTAGTACAACTTTTGGTACTTCTCAGGGTACATCTCAACCTCGTAGAAACTATTCTCGTAAATATTATTTTACTATTAAAAACGAGAAAATTCAAATTTGCAAAACCATGTTTTTACAAACATTAGCCATTTCTGACAAAGTAGTTACTAATATTTGCATCAATCTAAAAACATCACAGAAGATTTAAGAGGGAAATTTAAACGTCAATCAACTAAGAACAATGAAGTGAATAAATATATCACAGAGCATATAAATAGTTTTCCGACTGTAGATTCTCACTACATAAGAGAAAATTCAAAAAGAAAATACTTGGAGAGTGGACTGTCTATGTCAAAAATGCACAGACTTTACTTGGATTGGATAAAAGAAAAGCCCACATTAGATCCTAGAGTGTTAAATGGAACATTAAGACAATACACAGATATTTTTAATAATAATTTTAATTTGTCCTTCTTTAAACCAAAAAAAGATCAGTGTGATGTATGTGAAAAATATAAACTAGCCAGTCCATTAGAGAAAACTAAAATGCAAATTGTATATGATTTGCATATGAAAAATAAGACATTAGCAAGACAAAAAAAAATATCTGATAAACAAAAGGCATTAAGTGATTCAACATTTTGTTTAGCTGTGTTTGATCTCCAAAAAGTTCTAACAACACCTCAAGGGGATGTTGGAAGTTTTTACTACAAAAGAAAATTTGCCACATACAATTTTACTGTTTATGATATTGGTAAAAAACAAGCATATTGCTATATGTGGTGCGAATCTGATGCAAAAAAGGGGTTCTAATGAGATTGGTACATGCTTATTAAAATTTATTAAACTTATGAAGGAGAACCATGGTATAAGTGAATTTAGTTTCTACTCGGACAACTGCGCAGGACAAAATAGGAATCGATTTATATACTCTATGTGGGAATATGCGGCTTTCATTCATAAAGTTAATATAAGACACACATTTTTGGAGAAAGGTCATACTCAGAATGAAGGTGACAGTGTACATGCAATAATCGAATGTGCTAAAAAGGGAACAATGATTTATGTTCCAATGCAATGGGTGACTTTAGTGCAAAGTGCAAAAGTAACTAAAGAACCTTATTTGGTTATTCAAATGTCAAATAATGAATTTTTAGATTTCAAATGTTTAGTAGAAAATGAACAGTTTAATTGGAAAACATCTACAAACAGAGATGTAATAAAATAATCAATAACAACCTATCAATTAGATAACAAGTATTGGTGTACTGTATCATGAAATCAATCTAATTTTTTTTTGCGTTCTTCTCTTTGTCATTCGCTTCCGCGTATATCTTATTTTTATTATTAACTATTGGTAGTGCGTTGTTGGTGTTTTCGTCCAGTTTCATCCAAGGATTCCACTTTTTGGTCGCATTTTTGCTGTGGCTTGGACCGTGAGTACAATTATCGTTGTATCCGTTATCACTTTGGCGATTTCACACTATCATATTATCAACGTCTTACTTGGATCAGCTGTTTATTTTTTTCCTGTCTTGGAGACTTTAACGCAAGGTACCAAACTACATTAACTCTCGCCTACTGGCCGTATATGCAACCGACTTTGCATTACTGTTAAACTGGTAGTATCCAATTGTGTTATGATTAATTCAAAAACAACCACTCGCAGTGGCGCTAAATTACTGGCTGTCACTTCTCCTAAAGTCGTCTCTTCACCTGCTAGCAGTTCTCCATCCAACGATGATATCATGACTACGTTATTATCCTTTCGAACTGAGTTTTCTGATTCTTTTAAAAAACTGTCATTGACGCAAGACAATCAATTTAAAGAGCTGAAAAATGACATAGTTCAACTGTCCTCTCTTCTTGCTGAACTCAAAGCTGAAAATAACACTCTTAAGGGTAAGGTGGTTTTTCTAAAAGATAAAGTCCTGAGGCTGGAATCCTTGGATTCTCCTGCCTTTTCATCCACTGTTGTATCACAAGTATTCCAGGAAACGTTTGAACGAGAAAGATGCTCTACTAATTTATTGGTATACAGTGTTCCTGAGTCTTCCGCTGAATCTACCACTCAACGTATCACTGATGACAAATCAACTTTTGAGAATATTGTAATTCCTCTTATAGGCAATCTTCCTGCTCAATACAAATTGGTTCGTCTGGGTAAAGCTCAGGCTAACAACCCTCGTCCCTTGAAAATAATTTTTGAATCTAAAGAATGCGCTTCTAAATTACTAGCTATCTATTATGAGGTAAAGAAAAAGGGTACTAACTTTCCGCCAAACTTCCGAATTGTAAAAGATAAGACTCTACTTCAACGTACCCTACTGCGCAACTGTCACTCTGAACTTGAGCGTAGATCTCAAGACGGCGAAGTTGGACAGCAGATTGTTCATATAAATGGTCTCCCGAAGGTCGTGTTTAGCAATTCTAGGAATGGAAATTTCAACCAGAGGCCCACATTCAACAACCCTTAACTCATCCTTCAGCTAGCAAGTCTGTCTCTGGTTTTTACCAGAACTGCCGTGGTCTCCGGACAAAAATTTTAAATTTTAAATGTAATGTAGCCTGTATAAATTATGATTTTATTGTATTAACTGAAACCTGGTTGACCGATTCTTTTGCTGATTGTGAACTTGGTCTTACCAATTATATTATTTACAGATATGATAGATGTCCTAATACTAGCAATTGCTTAAGGGGTGGCGGAGTTCTCATTGGGATAAGAAAAGATTTATCTTCCAAATTAATTGCTGTTCATGAAATTAACGTCGAGCACTTATTTGTAATGCTCTCTGTTGGGTCCTATAAGTTCATAATTAATGCTGCTTATTTTCCTCCTCTAAGTCCACCTTTTTTATTTGAAAATGTTATGTCCTTATTGGAAACTACATATCAACAACATCCTAAACACTTGTTCTTACTCTGTGGTGATTACAACTTGCCTGATATTTCCTGGTCTAATGATTCACATGGCCTTACTTATACTTCTTCTTCCCCTCTTCGTGTGCCTTGTGTTCCTGAACTACTTGCCTTCAATGGGTTCTACCAAAAAAATTCTGTTTTAAACTCTAAAGGTTCCATTCTTGATCTAATTTGTTGTAACACCGATTCCGTTATCGTTTGTGAATCTCTTGAACCGTTTGTTCCACCTGATCCTTATCACCCACCTCTTAATATTTCATTTCATAATATCTCTACCTCTACTACGTTAAATAACTCGCATTCCTTTCACAACTTCAAAAAGGCGGATTACAATTGTATTATACATTTTCTGTCTTCATACGATTGGGTCTCTACTCTATCCAACCTTGATTTAAATACTTCGGTTAATACCTTCACTGATTCTCTTCACAGTTCAATTTTGAGGTTAGTCCCTCTGTCCCACTTTTATAAATCAACTTTTCCTTCCTGGGTATCCAAAGATCTAAAAACCTTAGTTTATCGTAAAAATAAAGCTCATGCTAAATTTAAATCTACATTTGAACCTGCTGATTATAGAGTCTTTTCTCTACTCCGTGCAAAATGTAAATTTATGTCTAAAAAATGTCACAAAACGTTTGTTGAGCAGTCAGAAAAATCTTTATCCATGAATCCCAAGAAATTCTGGGATTTTGTACGTAGGAATCGTTCTCACAACGCTGTTCCAAACATAGTTTCCTACGACGGTGTCGATAGTTCTTGTATACAGGAAAGTGTAAATTTATTTTCTAAACATTTTAGTTCTGTCTACTCTTCAAAATCAATTATTCCAAACCTCCAGTCTTTAGATTTACCATTTTTCGACTTACCAAACAACTGTTACTTCACCCCTAATGATGTTCTCCTCAAGCTTAACAGTCTGAAAAATGTGTTTTCTTTAAGACCCGATGGAATACCGGGGGATTTCCTCTACAGAATAAGATATGTTATTTTCTATCCTCTTTGGTCTCTATTTCGAAGATCCCTTGATGAAAGTACATTTCCTGACATGTGGAAAATCGGCTCTATTACTCCCATTTTAAAATCAGGCAACCCATCACTAGTCACAAATTATAGACCAATTTCAATTCAGTTCAATTTTAACCGCCGTCGTGTAAGCATGTGTTTTTCGTTGTAGTATAATAGTGCTCCGTTATCTAGTGTTTATCTCTATATTCATTATATTGGTCATACTACTATAATAACAACGTATTTAGCCTTCATAGTTATATTTTATAGTACTAATTTTTCCTGATAAAGTAATAATGCCCTGTGCAATCTGTAATCAAGGGGTTTCCCCGGCCAAATTATTAAGCTGCAGTATTTGTAAGATGAATTTTCATTCTACATGCATAACTAATTCTCAAGATGGCTTAAAAAATCCTATTCGAAATAAAGATTGGAAATGTGATAATTGTATACTGAAGATAATTCCAGATCGTCGGAACCATGATAAGAGTGATTTAAATAAAGAAGACATAAAAAATATTAAAATAAATTTAAATAACATTTCTTTCAAATTAGATACTTTGTCGGATTCAATTAACAAAATTGACTCAATCGAAAAATCAATTTCATTTATATCATCTAAGGTTGATGAATTTAACGTGAAATTTGAGACTATCTTGTCTAAATTAAAAACCCATGAAAAAAAAAATATCGAACTTGAAAAAAAGTGTGCAATATTGGAACGCGAAATATTATCACTCAGTAGGAATGCTAACACTCTAGAACAACAAAATTTAGCTAACAACATTGAAATTACTGGCATTCCGAAAACTGAAAACGAATCTTTAATTGAAATTCTTAATAGTATTTCCAAAGTCTTAACCATAAAAGTTGAACCAAATGAAGTTGTAAGTTCCTATCGCACTAAAACCACAAAAAAATCGGGTAGCAATGTAGTTATATGTTTTGCAAATAAAAATAAAAAAGATGAAATTATTAATATGATGAAAAAACGTTCAAAAATTGATAGAAAACCGTTACTTGCTTGTGACCTATCAACTAAATTCACTAACCAAAGAGTCTTCATAAATGATCAACTTTCCTATAACAATAAGAAACTTCGCTGGTTGGCTAAGCTGGTTGGAACTCAATATGGTTTCAAATATACTTGGGCAAATTCGAGTGGTGTTTATATGAGGAAAAATGATGGTCAAGTTGGAGTTAAAATTATTACTTCTCATCAATTAATGGATTTAGATACTGATAAGAAAATAAGTGAGTTATGGATTTGATTGTAATTATTTTAAATGTAACTTTATTTCTTAATGTAAATTTATTTCATAATGATTAACAATTTAAATAACATATTACATGAATTAAAAGATATAAATAACGTTCAAACCGTAAATATTGATTGTTTAGAAAATAAGTATTTCCATGTAAATAGTCTTTCCATTTTTAGTATGAATATTAGAAGTCTGAAAGCTAATATTGATGAACTGTTACTATTGTTAAATTCTATTAATCATAGTTTTGATGTTATTGTGTTGAGTGAGACTTGGCTGAATGAAGATATTAATTTTATGATTAACGGTTATGAGTCTATACATTCACTCTGCAAACTAAATAAATCAGATGGATTATCAATATTTGTAAGTAACATATGTAAAATTAAAAATGTCCGAAAACATATTATATCTAATTGTAATTCTATTGAAATAACTATCGATAAAGGAAATTCCCTATTTTATATAACCGGTCTATATAGATCACCTAGTAATATTTTGGAAGATTTTTTGTTTTCTCTGAATGATTATTTATCACAATATAATCAAAATGTTAATCAAATCTTGTGTGGTGATATTAATATTGATATATTATCAAATAATATTGAAACTGTTGATTATTTGAATATCTTATACAGCAATAATTTTTACTCTGCTTGTAATAATCCTACCAGAATCACTAGTCATTCTAATACATGTATTGATCACTTATTTTTAAAAAATGTTATTATTAAAGAAGTATCATCTTATGTGTTACGTAGTAGCATTACTGACCATTTTCGTTTAATATTAAATATCAATATTGACGATTTAAATATTCAAAAAACTATGGCTAGCAATAATTTAAATATTGAATTAAAAACAATTGATTTTAAACATCTGAATATGTTGATTAGAATTGAAGATTGAAATATCCTACTAGATGATAAAAGTGTTGATAATTCTATTGATATTTTTATTAATAAAATAAATGATTTAATCCTAGCATCTACAAGTTTTTATAAACATACTAAAAGAAGTAATAATAATAAAAAGTGCAAGTTAAAACCATGGATTTCTCTAGGTCTTATTACATCTATTAGAGTAAGAGAAAAAATGTATAATAAATTGAGGCGCCAACCTTTTAATACTCATTATAAAAAATGTTATATTATTTATAGAAATATACTAAATAGCTTAATAAAAATTGCTAGAAATGCATACTATAAAACACAAATAGAATTATCTGGCAATAATATTAAAAAAGTGTGGGATCTTATAAAAATAGCTTCTAATACTAAAGTTAATAAACAAATAATCATTAGAGAAATCAATCATGAATCAGGTAGGATTATCAATAACTCAAAAGATATCGCTAATATTTTTAATTCATTTTTTGTTAATGATGGAAGCAATATAGCTTCAAATATTAGAGAGGATGGTTTTATATACAAAACATTTGAGGAACTTAATAATAACTGCCATATTGAAAAATCAATATTTCTAAGCCCTATTGACCCTATGGAAATAAGTAGTATGATTATGAAATGTAAAGATTTTTCATCTTATTATGAAGGTTTGTTATCTAATACTATTTTGAAAAAAACATCAATTAATATATCCTTACCCTTATCTATTATATTCAATAAATGCTTTTCAACAGGTGAATTTCCATCTAGCTTTAAAAAATCAATAGTTATTCCGCTTTATAAAACAGAAGATATAAGAAGTTGTAATAATTATAGACCAATCACTCTTACTTTGACTATCGCCAAGCTTCTAGAAAAATGTATTAAAACCAGACTTGTTAACTTCCTAAATGAACATAAATTTTTTAATGATAATCAATTTGGTTTCAGGAATAATCAATCTACTAATGATGCATTATATTGTGCTACTAAATTTATATATGACAATCTTGATATAAAAAAGCATGTTGTTGGTATATTTTTAGACTTGAAAAAAGCATTTGATTCTGTTAATCATAATTTATTGTTAAAAAAACTTGAATACTGTGGTATAAGAGGAGTTCCATTAAAACTATTAGAATCATTTATTAGTAATAGATACCAAAAGGTTAAAATTAATGACGTTTATAGTGATGACTTATTAGTTAATTATTCTGTACCTCAAGGAACTGTTCTTGGGCCACTTCTTTTTATAATATACATTAATGGTTTGCTTAACCTAAATTTAGGAGGTAAGGTCTTGTGTTTTGCTGATGACACGGTTTTCCTTGTTAGTAACTCTTGTCTAAATAATTTAAAACATGAAGCCAATATTGGTATTAATTTAATTAAGAATTGGCTGGATAATAATTCATTACAACTTAATTTTACCAAATCCAACTTCATACATTTTAGAATAAAAAATAATAATAATAACTTAAACTTTGATAAATTAATTTTACACACTATCTTTTGTAAAAGAGAAGGAAATAATTGCATCTATCCTATAATAAATAAAACATCCTCTGTAAAATATCTAGGTATACATTTTGATGAACTATTAAAATGGAATGTCCATATAGATAATTTAATAAAGTCGGTTCGAAAATTCTTTTACGTATTTAAATGTTTGAAAAATATTTTAACTGCTAATGTTAAAACAATAGTTTATAAATCTCTAGTGCAATCAATAGTGTCTTATGGTATAGCATTTTGGGGTAACGCTTATCAAACTCATATTAAAAAATTAAATACAACATTAAATTGTCTTGTAAAATATATCTTCAATAAGCCAAGACTCTTTCCAACAAATTTATTATATAATGAATGTAAAATCTTAAATATAAAGTCTCTCCATATAATACATGTTTTTGCGGTTGTCTTTAAATATACTAACACAATTAATACTCCTACACATAAATATAACACACGATTTGTTAAAGATATTAATTTATCACTGCCTAAATTAAGAACTACTTTTTGTCAGTCAGGGCCATATTTTGTGTTTATTAATTTTTGTATTAAATATAATATTTGCATTCATGAATTTAATAATTTTATACAATTAAAAAGAAAACTTATGTCTTTAGGATTAAATACCTTAGTTTAATTTGAATTGTTTACAGTTTATATTACTTTTTTTTGAATAATTATATTGTAATTGATATGTTTATTTAATATTGTATTTGCATGAACTCTCACCTCCAGCACAGCCTTTGGCTTAGGAGGTGATCCAACAAAAATTTGTCTATTAGTAATTTTAACTTGTATATATTGTCTGTTGGAGAATTAATAAATATTATTATTATTATTATTATTATTATTATTATTATTATAGGACATATATCTAAAATTTTTGAGTCCTTAGTCCTAGACTCAATCCAGCCTTCGGTTAACATGATTTTAGCCAACGAACAGCACGGTTTTCGCCCAGGCAGATCTACGGTTACTTGTAACCTTAACTTTTCCAATTACATACACGGTTCTTTTAAAGAAGGATCTCAAGTTGATGTTGTGTATACCGACTTTGCTAAGGCGTTTGATTCAGTTAATCATGAGGTTCTTATCTCTATACTTCGTGCTTCTGGTTTTGGCGATCCTATCCTATCTTGGTTTAATTCATTTTTATTAAATAGATCACAATGGGTTAATATGTTCAATACAAAATCTGACATATTTTTATCTACCTCTGGTGTCCCCCAAGGTGGACATCTATCACCCCTTCTTTTCTCTCTGTTCGTTAACAGTGCTTGTACCTCCCTTAAACACAGCCAATTACTCTGTTTTGCTGATGACATGAAGTTTTTCCTTAAGATCTACTCGGTCGATGATTGTCTCAAACTCCAGGATGATCTTAATAGATTCTCTGCCTGGGCAGAAACTCTTGGTCTTACATTAAATGTTAATAAATGCCGGTCAATGATATTCACCAGAAGTCGCTCTCCTATCACTTACTCCTACGTTTTGAATGGCTCTTG